CCCCAAAACCCCAAAACCCCAAAACCCCTGAATAGTGAATTTTGAAGAATTTGTAATATCGAAGTAATCTTGATTTAAAGTAAGTTCGATTTCTTCTAATAATATATTTAATTTTTGGATGTACTATCATAACCTTAACCAAAACATGCTTGGCAATTAATAAAGTTTTTAGCCAATACAGGTACAACCATTCTAGTATTACAATCCTATCCAAATTTAAAAACCAGTTCAATATCAAGAATAGTTCTAGTTTCAGCAGCAACCCCCTCAATATATCTAATTTCAAAGCTCAAATTTTACTACCAACAATTAAGGACTAAACGGATTAAGCTTGAATTAGATAAGCACTCCTATGATTTATAATTAAGCTCCAATAATCAACCAGCAAACTCAAAATCCATAAAGCTAATTTAATGCTCAACCCCAACTCATAATATTAAATCAATACCCATACCCAGTTTATACTTGCAATTTACCTACCTATGATAAAATCAGTTCTTAGAATAAATTAGATGAGATCAATCAGTAAAATAATGCAGGGACTTATTAGATCTCATGTCAAAATACTAATTTGCAAACATAACCCTAAAGAACCCAATCTACTGGTGATTGCAATGCCTCGAATGAGGAGACTATTGATGATGGAATCAAAAGAAAACTGGGATTACCTCTTTCAACTTAAATTCGTGTATAGGAAGGAATAGATTTAGAACTTAATAGTGTTTAGTAAATTCATGTACCTGCAATAAAAACATTCAAGTATGTCAAATATTACAAAGAATCAAATAAGAGATGGCTATAAGTATTTATTTGCGAATATAATTAATGCTCTAAGACTTTCAATAAGTGGCACAATCTATTTGATCATCTGAGGTCACATATAAACGAAAGACCTTATATTTGCCCAGTAGACAAATGTAGCTAGCCTTTCACTCAAAAAAGCAATTTAAATAAGCATATGAAAACCCATAAAAACAAATATTACCTAAAATGTTCAGAATGCAAGGAACATTGGGCTAAATCTAGAATACTTGAGCATTTTAAGGTGCACAAAAATTCATGAATTTAGAAGTTTCTGATGGACTGAAAATTTTAACTCACATTGAATGTTTCAACAAGATTTATATTATTACAGTAGAATAATGAAAAGCATTGTAGTGATTAATAATAATTTCGAATATATTTTATTTGCACTTTAAAAATCTGATATAATTACTCCACGGGGTTTTGGGGTTTTGGGG